ATCAGTAAAACCAGCAACATGGCAAAACGATGGAACGGACCAAACGAAACCCATGCTGCAGCATGTGTAATCACAAAATCTATAAAATCAGCAACATGTGCAAATTTTCGACGTACAAAGGTTTTGTGCCAGCGTTGGCACAATGGGCATGTAGGCCCTGCGGGTTGTCCTCCTTCAGAGCCCAAGACCTTATGAGGTAGTCGTATTTCCTGATTGTCTTTGTGCAACCGTCTCGCGCGTTCTTTGCTGGTTTTTCTTTGTCCGTATACGCCGCACAGACAGACGGTCTGCGAGGCACGAGACATGATACATGATTGGGGAGTGAACGAAAATACCAAGCAGTAGGAGCGGAGGTGACGCGCGACAGCAGTAATTCAACAACAACACAACATTCTGAAGCATGTCTTACCCCGACAACGGCGGCATGCCAGCGCACAAATAGATATATAGTTGAACACACAAAACAGCAGTATGAAGCATCTCTTACCCCGACAACGGCGGCAGGAGCGGTGGTTACCCGTGACAGCACCTCTTTTTTGGATAGAGGGTCCACGGCGCGCTGTGAGACGCACAGTCGTCCACAAAGAGGTGGATGTTGTCGTACACTGCACGACAGCAGCAAGCAGCAGAAAACAGTGATACATGTTTCATCGGTATGCACATGAATAAAACGAATCGTTTTGAGGAGTCGAGCGATGGACGCTATACGCCATAGGCAGGGTACGCACGAAAACAACTGCTGTGAGAAGGCGCACGCCAGAGGCAGCGTGCGCACACACACAACTGCTATGGGGTACTAAAGGAATAAAAACTAAATACCATAGACAGGGTACGCACGAATACGACATTGTAGACCTATAATAGACGGATTTCCTACGGGCTGCGGGCTGACGAGATCGCAGGAAATGCAATCCTGATGCTCTCGTGAGCCTAGAGCCCCTTTTTTGCGAATTTCTCCGCCCATGCACCTCCGTTCGCCGCGGGAATCGCTTCTGCCGGCAGCCCCGGCCCGCGAGAGCCTTGGCAGCGCTGAGATCGCCGTCGGACTGCCCGTCCCCGAGCGCTACCGAGGGCGGAAAGTTGCGTCTCCGAGATCCACCATGCCTCCACCAATAGCACCTCAATTTATTGACAGTGCAGGCTGTACACCTCAAAGGTAGCAAGGTAGCGACGAGATCATTCTTTTTTTGTCAATCGAACTCTTCTTTTTCTTTTCTTTTTTGGCGGCAAATCGGGAATAAAAGCGGGAGATTTAAGCGGGAGAAATGATGAATGCTTCCAACCACAAGCACATCACTCCAACCACGAGAACTCACGGGCATGGCTTCCCACCGGCTGTGCTTAGCACGTCACCCGCAACCAAGAAAGCACGAGACTCTCGCAGCAGCGGCAGTGGTGGATCTGCCGGCGGCAGCAGCGGCAGCATCGGCCAGTCGCCCGACGGGTTTGAGCTCGTCGGAGAGCCTATCTGTTCACGGGAGGCGTTGCCCTGACCCATCCTGTCAGGACACTACTCTGGTGTGGCGCACCAACAGGGGCCGTCGTTACGCGGCTTGCCCTAACAACAACAAGGACGACCCCGACTCCTGCAAGTTCACCGCCAACAAGCTCGCTAGAGCAGGTGGCAAAGACCTGGACCCGTCCCTGCTGTGTGTACTGTGCCTCGCTTCGGTCGTCAACTTCCTCTCAGTAGGAAAGAAAAACGGGAAGATCCACGCAACCACCCAGAAAGACCGT